ACTAAAGCTTGTATTTCAGTATTACATAGTTTGGGTCAAATTTTTGGGTAAAACCACACCACATCAAACCCAACTCAACCCAACCCTTTATATATCATTTCTGACAAATTCAAGAAAAAATATTTTAAAAGTGTGTATTCCAAGTTATTTGGTTCATAGTGCGTCAGCATTCTAAAGTTTATTTTTAATCCTTACCAGTAAAGTATATTCTAAGTACCATGAAATAAAAAATAAAAAGGAAAGGATTTTGAACTGAGAATTAAACTCCTGGGCATCTGGTAATTTTCAAATTTCTTTGAAAATACTATCTTTCCCACTTTTCTTTTCCTAACAAGAAATAATAGGACAGGTTTTGAAGGTGAGAATGTGAGAGAAAGGTAATGGATTTTTAAGTAAGATGCTAAATCCTAAAGGATTTTATGATAAACCCAAATTTAACATTAACTACATTGAGTACAAATTACACTGAGTATTCCCACAAAGGCAGGGTTGTCAAACTGGATTTGTTGGGATGGCTGGATCAGCATTATAGTTGTCCTCTATGGGCCAGATGGGAGGAGGAGGAGATGGGATGGATGGCTTCCTGCAGCACCCTGCTGGCCAAAACGGGGCATGGGGGGCCGTGTGCAGCCCCTACATGGCTCCTTTTTGGCCTGGATTGCCTTCTGAAGCACTTTGCACGCAAAAATGGGGCACAGAAGGGAGACTTTGCCGGCCTCTTTGCCACGTGCAGCCCACCCCCATCCCCCCTTTTTGGCTGCCATGGGCACTGTGGACCAGTCCTTTGCTATTTCCAAGCAGGCACCACAGGTCAGATTTAAGCACCCCATGGGACGAATCCGGTCTGCAGGCCTTGATACCCCTGTACAAAGGCGTTTCAAAGAATGAAACTCATTCAAAAAAAAAATTCAACAATATAAATTGATCTCAACTTACAATTATAACTGAGCCCAAAATTTCTGTTGTTAAGTGAGATGTTTGTTAAGTGAGTTTTGCCCCTTTTTCTTGCCTCAGTTTATAAATGAATCACTGCAGTTGATAAGTTAGTAACTCTGTTTTTAAGTGATTCTGGCTTCCCCATTGACTTTGATTGTCAGAAGGTCACAAATTGTTATCACATGAGCTTGGGACATAGCAACATTCATAAGTATGAACCAGTTGCCAAGCATCTTAATTTTTATTACATAATCATGGGAATGTTGCAAAGATTGTAACTTAGAAAAAGGGTCATAAGTCCCTTTTTTCAATGCCGGTGTAACTTTGAACGGTCACTAAATGAACTGTTGTAAGTTGAGGACTGCCTTTACAAGATGTTGCATATATTTGTTACCATGTATCTATCTCTGAATAATAAAAGCAAAAGAGGTAAATAATGAGCAATTAATGAAGACTGGTTCAACCCAAACAATGCACTGCACATGGTGCAGAAAAGCATTTTACAAAACTGTCCTTATGCGAAGATACTCTGTTTCCCTGAAAATAAGATAATAAGGATAATAAACCCAATTGGGCTTTTGAGCACACATGCTAAAATAAGCCCTCCCCCCCAAAAAAAATATTGCAACACAGCAACAGCCATGAGGTGACCAAGTTCACCGTCTCCTGCACCACCAAAATAATAAGATCTCCCTGAAAATAAAGTGCTTATTTCCAAGTGCTTATTTGGGGGGGGGGTCAAAAGAAAATAAGACCCTGTCTTATTTTCGGGGAAACACGGTAGTGGTTCATGGAAATTTTTATGTCCTTCTCTACAGCCTGTTTTAATAAAAATTATTTTTGATCTAACACTCATTCAGAAGATTTATATTCTGTTTCCTCAAATTAAAAGGATGCATCTATCTGATTCTACATTTGGAAAGAAAAACATGAATCCCAAGATTAGTTCTGTACAGTTACCTTATTAAGTAACCACAAGTATATGTTATTCATCACAGACTTGGTCATTATTGAATGGGGCTAGAGTAGACAACCAAAGTTCAAAAATTAAAGCAGCTTGTTTAGTGACTGTTCAAAAGGACAACATCTCTGGTGGGGGGGGGATGTCTTATGACAAGTGTTCACACTTAGGAACACTGCAGGATCCCCATAGTCATCTGCATTAACCCAAGATCATTCAATCACAGCTGGCTTCCAACAAGCAGAGTCAATGGGGGGGGGAGCCAGATTTGCTTAACAAACACATGATTCACTTAACAACTGCAGATATTCACTTAACAACTATGGCAAAAGTGTTGTAAAATGAGGTAAACCCATTTAAATGCCCCATTAACCAGGCAAATTTTGAGCACAATGTAGACAGTCATAAAAATACTCTGTATTTTTCAGAGTATAAGATACTCCAAGTATAAGGCACACCTTAATTTTTGGGAGAAAAATAAGAAGAAAAATTCTGCCTCTGCCTACCAGCATCCATGGTATTCAGCTGACACATGGTAACAAAGTCAGCCAATGAATAGGCATAGCAAGTAAGTCAGCAATTAGGGCTATTTGGACTTTGAAATTTGCTGTGTGAGCAAGGAGGAGACAGGAAGGAGTCTGGCTTAGCAGAGAACTGAAAGTGAACCTGCTTGTGTTTTGCTTGTATTTACTGCTATCTTGGAAAACCTGCTTTTGGTATTGTATTGTATATTATTATTATTTTGAATCCTGCTGAACCAGTTACTGTGCTTTCTGAATGTGATTGCTGCTGCAAACTCTAACCAGCTAGGTCAGCTTCAGCACTTACTACAGCCTGATTCAGGACAGCTGTTTGGTGGGTGGATTGCACTGCTGGAATACCTCCAATCAGATGTTCCAGGCTGCAGGGATTGCCACAGACTCTCGCTGCCTCCATGCCTCACATTTTTGGCCTCTGGTGGGATGGGATGGGACTACATTCAGTATATAAGACACACCAAAATTTTCAGCCTCTTTTTTGGGGGGGAAAGGTGTGTCTTATACTCCAAAAAATACAGTATTTGTATTTAGTTTCCAAGTTTCTATATTCTAATCCCTTATATTAATAGATACATATACTGAATATAATTAATGAAGCTTAATGTGAATTTTGTTTTCTTGGTCATGGTTCATTTTCAAGGGCTTGATCTAAGAGTTCCTAGTTATTTTTGACCCTTCTAGGTTTTTTTTAAAGGTTAATTGATGTCCATTAAGTGCTGCAGAACCTGAATATAAGAATAAAATGTTGACATATTCCACTATACTTGAAAATAAATGCTATACTATAATGGCAACTCAATAAGATCTGGAATAGCATCAAAATAAGTTACATAAAACTTGAGCACTTTCCTTCCAAAATGGCAGAAGAGACAAAAATACATTATTACTAAGCTTTTGTTCCATTTTGTTCTATAATTTAATAACATGCATTTATAAAAATTCTCATTTTTGACTACTCAAAGCAAAATTTGAAGTTAACCCCTATTTGCTTTTCAAAGATGCTGCATTAATGCAGCATTAGGTATAAGAAAAAAGAATATTTATGAAAAAGTCTAAAGTAAAGCATTTTTAATACTGTAAACAGTCCATGAGAAGAGATTTTAAAAGGAGTGGGGCGGTGCTCCTCTCTGTTTCAAAGCCGAAGAGCCAGCGCTGTCCGAAGACATCTCCGTGGTCATGTGGCCGCTATGACTAAATGCTGAAGGTGCACAGAGCACTATTACCTTCCCATCAAAGGTGGTTCCTATCTTTTCTACTTGCATTTTTACATGCTTTCGAACTGCTAGGTTGGCAGAAGCTGGGAGCTCACTCTGTTACGTGGCGCTAGGGATTCGAATTGCAGACTTTTCAATCAACAAGCTCAGCGTCTTAGCCAGTGAGCCACTGTGTTTCTTAAAATTGACTATAAGCATATATAAATCAATAAAATTTGAAGACTGCTTCAATGTCTTGTTTGATCACAATTCTCAGTGAATCCCATAATTTCTAAGTGACTAGAATTATCTTTCAGCAGCTATGGCATTCAAAATCTTCAAAATTAGCTTTTTTCGGAATTTTAGTTTGATTCCTACTTAAGACAGCAGCAATCCAAAGCAGAATATTTGACCAACAAAAAGTGAGTATGTAATATAATTAAACTTAATCATCAATAACCCAACTGTACATAAAAACTGTTCTACCACACATTCAAAGCTTTTATTAAGGAAACCAAATGCTTAAGAAAGCTGGCTTCCACGGTTAGCTGGTTTTAAATAGAAAAAGAACAATTTCATGGTGATAACACACCCTCTATTGCTTCAAGATCTGCTCAACAATAAAACCACTAACATTGTTGGACATATTCAACTAAACCTGTGCATTATTAACCACATCATTCTTTTGTAGTACATCCAGTTGTATCCATCCCTAAGTGAAAGACAGTGCTGTACTTGGAACTTAGAATACTTTAATATTTGCAGAAATTACTTGATGAGACAGAAGCCTCTCCAAAACAGCCCAATGATGATTCAATATGCTCTTCGGTTGCAAATACTATTATGCAAATGAGATAGTAAAGCCACATAATGGACACCAGTCACTTGCAACAGTCAGTTTAATAATATGCTGGTACAATTTTCAGGTTGTAAGACTTTTCAGTTTGTATATCTTTAGGACTTTTATTTCTTGTATACTTTGCAAAGGTTCATAACAAATAGTCCTTAATCACTTTAAAAACATACTTTTATAACATAGAACATTGAACAGTTAAGTTAAAAACAAATGCATTTAAATCACTTAATTAAAGCAGCAAGTAGAATTATTTATTAAAGAAGTTTATGAAGTATGAAGTTTATACAGCTTGACAGCTCAAGTAAAAAACAAGTTCTAGTACCATATTCAAAACATGTTCCACATAAAACCTGCTTTAGATTTAAGAAAAATTGTATTTGCTGGATTTTGTATTCCAGTCCATTCAATGTTATAATTAGAATGCACTTAGAAAGACCAGACTCTAAATGCTTCAGCCAAATATTAAACATGCTTTCTAAATTACAGGCAATTATTAAAGTATGTTCCTTTCTCACCGGTTGGCTTGTCTATTCCAAGAAATCCAGAGTTCCCAAGTGTTTTAAAAACTTGGTGTGCTGGAAATTGTCCCTCTTCTTCCCATTTGTCCACAAATGGATTGATTTCATTGTCAATAATCTGCAATGGAAAGTAAGGAAAGGATGAAAATTGGAAAAGATTACAGGGTGATATTACAACAATAGGGCAAATATTATTCTAATATAGGCATTAGCGTAATTTCGTCGCACGACATAACCGCGAAAGTCAAAAGCGCCGACAACACCGCGCCACTAAAACCGCGCCGTCAAAACCGCAAGACAACAGCGCGCCGACAGAAGCGCGATTTAACTTAAGGTAAGGTTTAGGGTTAGGTTTAGGTTTAGGGTTAGGTTTAGGGTTAGGTTTAGGGATATTTTTACGGTTATGTTACAGCACGCTTCTGTCGGCGCGCTGTTGTGCGGTTTTGACGGCACGGTTTTGTCACTGCGCTTTAGTGACAGGCGCTATAGTCGACCGCGGTTTTGTGGTGGAACCACGTAATTTATTCCATGCTTTCCTAAACAGAAGCTCTCCAGCTCTTCTGGACTACTATTACCATCATCTTCAGCCAATATAAGGCAGTCAGAATCTAAAACCATAGGGTGGAATGCTGCTTTAATGCAATAATGGGTTTACTAATTCCAACTGATTTGATGGACTTAACCCAGCTCAAAACCAACTTAAACTAGAATTAACTGAATGGAAGATTTGGTTACCAATCCTATCAAAGTATTTTAATGCCAACAATAGATTAACTATAATGTTTTAGATTTCGGAATTCTTCATTCAAATCTAAATAGATACTTAGTGACATGAAGCTTAAAAATTGTTTAATATTTTATCTTTAAATGATACACAAAATTGCACAAGATGAAAAAAGGACGTAGTTTATTTCAGAAGATGCTGGAATCAAATCAAGAAATAATTTATACCATTGGTTGATAAAATGTCTATTATCCATAATTTAATCCTGGGTGAAAGTGCTGAGATATTGTGAAGACAAACTAAAAGGATAATCTTCCTAGCTGTGTCCATTGTGCTACTTTATGATGCAATTGATTGGGTCTTGTAGGTGAACAAGAATGATATCCATAGGTAAATCTGTAGGAATTTCATCTCATTAATCAGAATTTCCATTTAATCATCTCTCAGTTTGGAGTATACTATTTGTAACTGCATTTGTATAACTGTGACAATGTAGGGAAAACTTGAGTGTTCTAATTGTACAACAATCTCTCTTTCTCAAGTCAAAATTTCAATACCCATATTGAGATTGCTCAATAAGCAGTGGCTCAATTTTTCTGTCTAGTTTGAAGGACATTGTCACCTGATTGCTTGATTACTGTGCTTCTTGGATGACTAAATCAGCCAGATTGGAACAGGTCCATTCTTGAGAAGTAATTTAGGATTATTAAAATGCAGGATATGTCCCTACCTGCTTCAAAGAGGAAGTTGTAAAACCACTCTTGAAAAGGTCCTTCTCTTGATCCAGAGATCTTGCTTAATTATAGGTGAATCACAAATATTCCATTGCGTGGTAAGAAAGATCAAGAAAGTAGTGGCTTCACAACTCTAGACACATTTAGCGAGCTTGATTTTTGGAACCTATTTCAGAGGTTTTATGTAGGACATGATACCAAAACTGTTCCGTTTGCATGGTTTGATGGCCTATGGCAGATTGGGAAATAGGTAAAGGTAAAAGTTCCCCTTGCACATACATGCTAGTCTTTCCTGATTCTAGGGGACGGTGCTCATCTCTGTTTCTAAGCTGAAGAGCCAGCGTGGTCTGAAGTCATGTGGCCAGCATGACTATTTAGTCACAGAATGCTATTAACTTCCCACCAAAGGTGGTCCCTATTTTTTTACTTGCATTTTTATGTGGTTTTGAACTGCTAGGTTGGCAGAAACTTGGACATGTAATGGGAGCTCACTCCATTACGCGGTGCTAGGGATTCAAACTGCTGACCTTTCTGATTGACAAACTCAGCATCTTAGCCACTGAACCACCGTGTCCCTATAGATTAGGAAATAGGATGCTGCTAATTTTCTAAACCTCTTGTTATTATCAACTATGGTATTCTTATGTACCATTTGCTATGATCCAGCTTTGTGGATATTTCATATTGTTTTTGGTCCTCTCTGTAAACAAACTGAGAGCTGACTTCAGGGAAGACATGAAAGGGGAAAATAGGAGAAGAAAGGATGGAAGGAACAAGCTGTTAAGGAGAGATTTAGAGAAAAGATTACACAAAAAGAGTAGGTTAATGTCTGACTTCCTTTATCCTAAAGTCTAACAACACTGGTTCCATGCCCTGGTGTCATTGTAATATGTACTTCCCATCACTGGCCAGCTGTGATATGAAACACAGACAGGAAAATACATAAAATAATGATCCGAAAACACTGAACAGGACATGTCTGTGTGTAGAAAGTTGATAAGAATTCAATGTTGGAATTCAATGTTTGGAGACATCTCTAGCTAGCTAGTTAGCTAGCTAGTTTGCTCAACCTTTTCCAAGCTGAACTATGTGTCCGTCTCCAGATATATTGGAATTATAAGGAAACAAGGAAATTAGATAAAAAGACAAATTATAAGAAACACGGATAATTCTCCTACATCTCCACAAACCACAATTAAATGTTCCCCCCTTTCTCCCAAAATATGGAGTAATCCTCCTTTGTGGTTTTAAAATGCATTATCTAAAACTAGTCCCTGGTGTGGGTCATATTTTAGGCTAGAATTAAAATAGGTTTTTTAAAAAAATGGAAACATTTTCTTACAAGTTTAGCCTTTAATTTATTAATAGATGCTATTGATTGTAAACAATATTTATGCTTGCAATTCAAACTCTGCATTCTCAGCAGCAATTTGCAAGGATTTATTTAAAGACTGCATGATTGAGAAGTTTTACTAAAGAATATTTCAAGTACTATTCACAATTGAGAATACTACTTTGGCAACTATATAGTAAGTGGCCAGTGAATTTGTAGAATACAAGATTTTGTATCATTAAATGTGTCTGCATGTTTTAGTATTTCTGACTCTGAGAAAAATAAGAGCTCATTTAAGTTATATTACTACTACAGTTCTTCTGTGTCTGGAAAGCTAATTTCTTTTTATGACAAAATAATCTGTGGAAGAAAAATATCAAAGAACATATCCTACCAGAATTCTTTAAGAATAATTTAAAAAGCCTTGTAAAAACTAAAATTAAGATCAATGAATGATAATATAGCAGAAGCAACAATACAAAATGTCTTACCCATTCTTTCATTAACTTATACTAATAACCACTTATAAAAGATATTTTATTAACATTCTCACTTTAAATATTCTATGTTTTATGAACTCAAGGAATGAGTCTAAGTGCAGTTATTGTGTTAATGTTTCTAATAATGAATTCAATAAGCAGTTTAATGGTTAATGTCATTCATTTATATGAAAATATGAGGGAGCAGGTGAAGTCAATTATGAAATCATCTGTATTAAAGCACTCTATTAAAATTAAGAGGAAAAAGGTTTTGTTACTGAGAAGCTGGAGAGCTTTATAGATAGAGAGGCCCCTTCCTTTAAAATCCACTGAAACATTCACATATGTAACAGGTGGCCCGAGGCCCCTGCATGGCCCATTTTCGGTCTCCCAAGGTTCCCAAATGGCCAAAATGGGCCACAGGGGGGACGCACATGGCCCGTTTTGCCCGACAGAGGCACTGCAGGGCAGGCCTTTGATATTTCCAACCTAGCCCCAAGGGCTGGATTTAAGCAACCTGTGAGCCGTATCTGGCCTGCGGGCCTTGAGTTTGACAGCCCTGCTTTAATCTAATCCTCTTTCATTGTAATAATCAAGATAAAGGAATTTTATGAAAATGTGACTTTCTTAATTACTGCTACATATCTTACCCTAACCCTAAGCCTTAAACAAATGTCAAGTTCTGTTCCTCATTGAAACATAATGTACACATAGATGGATTGTGCAAAGCATTCCAATAATTTTGCTGGTTGAGGTTTTTCAAAGCTGACATCCAAAAAAGCTCAGGATTATTCCTCCTCCACTGCCTCTCCTCCTTCTGCTCTTCCTCCTCCTCTTCCATCTCTTCCTCCTCTTCTCTCTTTCCGCCCCCCTGCTCCTCCTCTTCCATCTCCCGCTGTTCTTCCCCGGTTGAGGGAGATACAAAGTTCACAAAATGTCTATCTTACTATGATATGGGTTTCATTATTGCTTTATTTCCACAGGAGGAAGTATTTATTTGTTTAGAAAATTGAATGTAAAGAAACATTCTGTGAGCCTGGTCTCCCCAGTGACATTAGCGTTTATTTCCAGGCCAGGTTTGCTGTACAATTTAATTATATTTCTTTTTAGATTATTTATGAAAAATAAATAACAAGCTGGACTACTCATAAGCAAAGTAGCAGCATCAACTTTTTTTTTACAGGAACATCCTTGGATCCCTCATAGGTTCCCCCCCCCCCATTTGTTTAAAGGTTATGTTTGATGTTACAATAACATAATTTGTAAAAAAAACAAAACTTTAAATAAACCAGAGTGGTATAGAACAAACAACCTGAAAATTTAGTGGAGGTGCAGTGGATTAACCTCACTAGTATGGCTCCTGTAAAGAGGCTTCCTATGATTTCCTGTGTCCATCATGACACATACATTAGTGAATGGCAAAGACTCCCCAGTAGCTACTATTCTTGAGAGTGTCCACAAAATACAATCAGTATGGATACAAGGATACAATCAAATTTCAACACTGGCTCAAACATTCACTTGTCCATTCAAGAAACTACAGATTAAAATAACATTTTTTCATTTGATTCCAACAATCCTTTGTTGATTGAAATATTTCCTTCAATAACTAAATACCCTATTTTATTATTTATTGGAATTGTAGAATGATGAACTGCATATAGTATCCCTAGCACTAAGATTACAGTGTACAATAGCTGTACTGATATTTTAGGAAGATACATCACTATCTCTATGTTCAGAGGAGATAACATAAGAGGACAAGCAGTTCTGATTAATTGTAACAAGACTTTGTTACTTTTTCTCGCAAGAGATTCTAAAACACCATCCCCCCACAAAAAACAAATA